AGAGTGAGAGGAGCTTGCCTATGCCTGGAAATTAAGACTATCCTTATGCACAACCTGAGGAGCTACATAATAGCTGGGATCCAGAGTGGAAATCCTTGGACATCAGCTTCAGGCCTGTTATTAGTGCTACAGCGTGAGTGGCACAAACGTTTGAGAGGGGATAGGGAAACCAGGGGATTGGTGTAGCTTCCTAGTTAATAATATCTAGTACTTGAAACAGTACTGCTGTGGCAGTGAGTAGGATACCAGTTTTGATCCCATAATACTGTTTTCTTACAAAAGTGGGGAGCTGGTCTTTCAGCTTGACCAGATCCAAGCACTCGTTATGTGGATGATGAGAGTTCCTCACTGTAAAGGGTATCTTATGCCAAACTTCGTGTCCCTGATCCGAACATGGGAGCATCTCAACAAAGTTGCTGTTATAAATAGCTAACTATTTTAGCTACGTTCAGCCCAACATAGACAATGTCAAACGTTTAAAATTTGGCAAACTTAAAACCCTACTTTTGGACCGAGAAGCAGTATGATAGCTTAGTAGGTGCTTACCGTTTTGCTGTAAGGAAAGTCTGGAGTATGGTTTGTGTCTGGAAGTGGGGTGTATATGTAATCAATAATGAGAATATTTTTCCAGCAGGTTTAATTAGCGTTTTTGTCATTGTCTGGCATACATATGGGCTACTCAATACCTGCGGGTTCCTGCTGCTAACAGGCATCAAGATGCTTTCCTAAGTAAGACAAAGGACCAGCTGCTGGGGTCTGTCTTATGGATTATTTTGGATAAAATGCATATAAACTTAAGATGGGGAGGTTCTTAAAATTTGAAACTCATTGGTCCATCATTCAGACTTGTTTATGTTTTTAAAATATTCCATTAAGTCTGAATGTTTGGAAAATTATCCTGAGTTTCTTAACCAGTAAGATACCTAAACAGTAGAGAGTAGAACCAGTAAGATACCTCAACAGTAGAGAGTAGAACCTCAGAAAAGCATTTGGAAGATTTTTCATTATCTTGGAGGGGGGAAGAGGTAGGATGACCTAAAAGTAAGCGTGTTTAGATTAGAAGGCGGAAGTAGAATTCTGTTTTGCTCAGTAGAGTCACAGTGCTCCACTGAAGTGAAGTGATCAGCACTGCTAATGCCCTTGCTGCTTGCATAGGAAGACTACTAAGTTGACAGAAGAGTGGAGAATCTCTCAGCAGTCTAGAATGTGTGTCTGGTCTGAGTTAAAATAAGTTTCAACTAGTATAGCAATCCAAAACGGTATTCTAGGGAATGGAGGTGGAAGGGAGCAATAATTCTAGTGGCTTTTAGAATGGAACTTCATGAACTTACAAATAAGAGTGCACTAAGAAAGGGCTTGGATAGATCGAGACACAGAGTCCATTGCTATTGAGAAATTAGGGCTTGCAGCAGTCAGAAGTTGTAAACCAATTGATTATTTTATCAAGAAAGCTTGTAGGTCTGGTCAGATTAGAAAAATCAGAATACGTTAAGTATGTAGGAGTCCTCAAGAGATATTTAAGAAAGAAATGAAAATGATAAATGGAGAAGCAACGTGTGAGTAAGAGTGTGAAACGCTACAATCCACACCTCGCTCTTACCTTAAGTTGGATATGATTTTGTACCTAGAGATTTCTGTTTCAGGGTAAGTATTTCTTTGTAGTTCAGCACATAGATAGCTGCAAAGATTGCAGGTCAGTGACATTATTAGTATCTGGTGGAGACATGCTGTGCATTAAAAGTAAAATATATTCAGAATCAGGTGGCAGTTTGACTTTAGTCCTCCAATGCTCTGTATAAAATTCTCCGAAACATATTTCCTCCTTTATTACAGAGCCTAGGGTAACAAGATATATAGTCAGCAAAACAGAATATGTGACCCATTTTTAGGATTAGAAGCCTTCCTTGTGTTTCTCACGTGGGTTCTTTTGATATCTCAATAACACGGCATGTCAGTCTACCTTGAGGAGGAATTGACAGGGTGAATGGATTTCTCTCGCAGGAGAAGAATGCAGTATTTCGCACTTCAGAACGTTTGCTGTTGGGGTGTATTCAGCGTTTTGGCTTGTGGCTATTAGAGGCTGTCAGGTGCTGCAGCCTCTCAGTTCTTCCCCAGCTCTGTTAGCTTGCCCCATGTGGAATGAAAGTTTGTTTCCAGGGGCAGCACTGTTCTAATGATTTAATGTTTATATTCAGTGTAGAGTGTGAAAGGGTTCATATCTACTGAAATGCTCTTACTTTGCTTGTGACTACTCTGAAGTGTCTCTAGGATTCTTTTACGCTCTTCTAACTTGTGTCAAACACTTCCTAAAATGCAGGTTTTCTTTATCAAAGAACAATGTAATTTGGAACAGATTTCTGTGTATTCATTGTAGTTTGGTCTTTTGTCATGTGGTTTAAAGTGTAGGTATTGAAATAAGCTTCACAGTGTCCTATCAAGATGTTCTTTTGGGGGCTTCATTGCTATTAATTCTCATAGCCCCATTTCCTCCTTATTAAGTAGGATTGTAGAATGACAGATTAGAAGGATAGAATAACCATTTCAGCCATCTAATTTGGACAACTTCAGCCTCTAACCGTTCCGTTATATTATTTTCTTCAGAGACTGAAGAGTTTGCTATGTAATTGTTCTCCCTATTTTGTACTCTTAGACTAAGATTCTATCACCTTTACCTTTTCTTAGATAAACTAACGATCAAATTCTTCTGTCTGTCGTTGAAGCGAGTTTTTTCCAATCCTTTAATTATTCTTTGTTCTGTAAGTGTTTTCTGCGTACCAGTTTCCATTCCTCTTGTACGTTCTCTGGTTTATATGTCAGTAGATTTAATTAGTTCTTCTAGTCTGTCCCATACTGGTAGTTCGTGTCCAGCTGATTGAGAAGAACATGAAAGACTCGGTGAATAGGTTTTGTCTCCAAGGACAGGGGTCTTTGTGTCTCAGTGCAGGGTTTTATGTTTTTTCCATTTTTTTTTTATCACCTGCTTTCAGAACATCAAAATAATTATGTATTTTGACCTGTTCTTTGTCCCGGTCTTTTAAAATACTTTCCTCTTGTTGAGGAAAGAGTAGTGAATAGTGCAGAACCAAGAATGCATCTTCTGGTACACCCTTTTAAAATAATGATTCCTTGTTCGTAATTACAGCCAAACATACCAGTTGTCAGCGTAGTGTGTCACATATAACTCGTACTGCTTTTCTTTCTTAAAAGGAATATTGAGCAGCACAGAAGTGCTAATATGTATTGCTGCATAAATATTTGTTATTGAGGCTTCATCGAGGTGCTTCATGCCATTTGTAAGTCTACCTGTTTAATTTGTGTTTTAGCTTCTGGATCGTTTTGAGGGGTTTTTTTTACTTTTTTTACTTTGATCATTTTTAGCTTCATCATTTTGAGTCACCAAAATGACAAACAGCCCAAACAGCCACAGTTTGACCCTGATTTAGAAGCATTGCTGTGAAGAGTCAGTGAGACTACTTAAAGTGACCATTTGAAAGAAATAGAGACAGTAACTGTAGCAAATACAGCGTATTTGAAGTTCTCTCTTTTATACAGAGTCCCCCCCCGCCCCTGCAGTACTGTTTTTCTAAGGTCTGTTTTTCATGTTTGAAGTTCATGACTCCTGGTCAGAGCTGTGTGCCTGCGATGTCCACGGTTGTGTCTGCCACCTGCTTCTGTTGAGGAGAGCTTAAAGACTGCCTTGGCTTTTTCTTGCACAGAGATTGAAGATGCAAATTAATTTCCTATTGGTAGTACTTCTAAAAAACTATGGAATTGTTTCGTCTTCTACAGTACATTCCAGTAATTGTGCCTCTGCATTTCAGTCTCTCGTCAATAGCTCTTCTGTAGCTTCCTATTGTCAGGATCTTCCATTTCATTCTGGAGAAATTGATGATGGCTGCCCATCGGATATTTGTCTACGTAGACCCTCCGTTCTTTGTTTGATTTGGCAACAGGAAGAGTACCATAACAATCATGGTGGTTCTGAAACTGAGGCTGTAGTTTCATGAACATTTTTCATTGTCAGGTTGACTGCCTGCTTTAACTAAACCTTTATCTCTTTTCATTTTCTTTTTTTGCTATTTCTGGTTTTGGATTTCTCATGTTGGAAGGCTATTTGGCTTGTTGAAGTATCTATAGTGTCTGACTAGGAAATGCAACATGCAGTAATTCTGTCGAATCTAGAAAAAGAGCGCTCCAGTTGCCGGAGAGCTACTCAGATTTTGTGGAACCACGTGCATAGTTGGTCAGAAAATCAATGTTGTTAATTTTTTATTGTCGTTTCTGACGTCCTGAGGGGAAGGAAGCATAGGAAGCCCCAATTCCTAGATGTCCTTGAAATAGTATCCCTAAAACAAGAGGTCTGTATTTCTAGATGCCTAATTTTAGGATTTATGATGAATAGAGAACTTTAGATCTCGTGCCAGATCACTGCCTCAAGCAGCTAGTGTTCTGTATTGAAAGGAAGAAAAATCTCTAAAAATGATAATTATAACCTTACAATGGCTAAATGGTGCTAATAGTCAATGTCTGGGGTCTTCTATTGTGTCTTGCTTATTTCCAGTGAATGTTTGCAAAGTCCTATTTTATCGATCAGGAGAGTAACAAGCAGGAGGCAGTTACTTTGTTCACGTTTTCCAAGCCTGTTTTTTCAGCTATTCATAAAAAACTTTGTACTTCAAATGCATGCTTTTTGTTGTTGTTCTATGATTTCTGCCCCTTTGCTTGCATACTCCACAGGTTGTAATGCACGTAGCACAGCCTACAACCAGTCAGCGCTCTAATCCTTTTGTTTGAATCATCTTCAGGGAAATAACATCATTCTTCCGTAGTTTTTTTTTCCAGGCCTTCTTTTAAAGCCCAGTAGGTAGAAGCCACTTACTTGGTGGCTTCTGCAACTGTAGCAGTCTCTCTCAATAAGACTGCAACTACTTTTTCAGCTTGGTCTTTAATGAAGGATGTTTGGCATGTACATCACTTTGACAAGGCCTGTAATTGCCTGTAGATTAAAAACACACTACACAGCTGCCATTGTAGGCCTTTCAGTATAATGGCATAATGGTTACTCATCATTACAAAACTGTAAACCTTAATGCACTGATTGTGGAAGTTGCTTGTCTTTCTGCATGAGCGTTTTTTTCTTGAGTACGCTAATATGTCTTGTCTTTACTTATCCTTTGCAATAACTGATTTTGCATGTTAACAGCTGTGTTGCTATTTGTGCTCTCACAGCTGAAAATAAAGAACAAATGGAAAATAAAGGCTACTGTCCCTTTTTCTTCAGAAAAGCCATACCAAGTGGAACAGTTAGATCGCATCCTGCTCTCTGGAATCTATAACGTGCGCAAAGGAAAGACCCAGCTGCACAAATGGGCGGAACGCTTGGTAATTCTCTGTGGCACCTGCCTCATTGTGTCCTCTGTGAAAGATAGCCACACGGGGAAGATGCACATCTTGCCTCTCATTGGGGGAAAGGTAAGACTTTTTCTTCGTTAGCTTCCTGTGGCTTAGGAAGGAAGAAGGGATTACAATTATGGATGTTATCCACAAAAAGTTAATCTAGGCTGTTGCAGCAAATTACTCCATTAACAGGTGCAGAGAGAGTAGCACAGCTCCTTTCTACTTACTTTGCTTAGGTGATCTTAAGGCTAATAAAACACTTGAAGAGTCACTGGTTCTGCTTTCATATTAGCAGCCAGTGTTGCGAATGGGCATCCCAGAAATAATTACTTATTGGATCCACTTCAGCAGAAAGATGCTAAAAGGGATTACTTCTGTGTTTCTCTCCAATGCCTTTACAGCTGTGTTTTTAGCGGTGTTGTAAATTGCTGGAGTTTAGGGAAGCTGTTTTTGTTCTCGTTTTTCCCATTGCAGGTGGAAGAGATGAAACGTCGGCAGTATACGCTCGCTTTTACATCTGCTGGAGCCCAAGCACAAACATACCATGTTTCCTTTGAAACGCTGGCAGAATGTCAGCGGTGGCACCGACAGGCATCCACGGTGAGGCTCTGGAGGCTGCAGTAGCCATGGTGGTGGGTAAAATAGCTGGAGGGAGTTCTGATACAGGTTTGGTCTTAAGGCAGATGTTAGGCCACGATGCTGAAGAAAGTATCCAGGATGCTTTCCAGCTTTCTTAATTTTTGTATGTGCTCTGTACTGCAGAGGCTTTCTTTCAGCATTCTCTTGGTGCTCTGTCTGTGCAGCAGTAGAAATTCTGCATTTATTCATGCCCATTGCACCTGTTCAGAGTAGCTATAAGAAACCTCAGAGACTGGTTGACTTCATAGCCGTAGAAA